TTTGAATTTGCTGATGATTGTGTAGCATATATATATGGGATGCTTACCTCACCTTTTTATCACAATAGAAGAACAAAAAATTGATTTAGTCTTTTTTTTTATTATTTTGATACCGAGGTTCCAGGCTTGCGCCTGACTATTCCTCGAGGAAACAGCCCCCGGCCCTTCAGAAATTGCCTCCAATTAAATCGCGGTAGCCACGCAATGGCTTCCAGGTTCCTAACACCCTCATCTACTGCGCACAAGGAGTCGATCCTCAAGTGATTGCTCGCTGACCCTCCCAGCTCCAAGTTGGCCCCACCTATCCAACTGCAGGGTCCCACCAAAGTGGTTGCTTTATGCCGGCCCCCCCAACTTCATGCTGGCCCCACCTATCCAGCCGTTGGTTGCACCGAGTTTCAGCCTCTCACACTGCCGCTTGTAGCCTTCAGTATTAATTGTTCCACTATCTGCGCCTCTGGCCATAATACCTCACTCTTAACCAGTAAAAAAAACAAAAAAAACTATGAGATTGTATGATTAGGGGTTTTGCACAAAATCCAGCCTAATAATTTACACAAGTCAGACATGTCGTGTCTTAATTGGATAAAACTATGAGATTTTTGTATTTGCAGCGTGCACGAAATTATTTCTACTACACAATTTCGATAAAGTTTTAATTTTTCTAACACCTTACCTTATAGTTTTTATTATTATTATTATTTTATTTTTTAACACCCTACCTCACTTTCTTACTTAATTTGGAAGAAATCTTTCAGATTGGGTTTGACATGGACTTTATATTATAGCTTTCAGATTTTCAGTCTTTTCTTTAATGACATGCAATTAAATGAATTACATATACCCTAGTGGAAGGTCCATATACAATATGCACATCAGATTAATAATTGGATTTTAGGGTGTTGCTACGGTCCCGTTACGAAATCATTCTATTAGATTTTGTAACTGTTAGATTAACTATTTTCGACGATTACATGATGATCTAATAGTTATAAATCTCGACGAGATTGTTCCGTAACATGACCGTAATATTTGGGGGTGTCTATATGTACACCCCCTCAAGTGTAAAAAAGGGGTGTACATATAGCACTTTTCTTTGTGTAATTTATTAAAAGGGGGTGTACATATAGCATTGCCCTAATATTTTTTAATAATTTTGTCACTTTCAGTAAAAACGAATAATTAGTTTTAATTATCAGCTTAAATGATTTATTAGATTTTTTAATATAAAATTTAAGCGAAAAAAAAGGTTATTCTAAGTAGACACCGAGACACGTAGATGTGCAGAAAGTGATGTCATTTGTGGTAACTTTAATAAATTTCCTTTTCTTTTAATTCTTTTAATAATTAATAAAAAGTGTAACAGGTGGTGGAATCTTATAATTCCAGCAATTATTAAGTGCTGCCCTTTTTTTTTTTTAATCTTTCAAGCAATTTTTCTTTTGGATTTTTTTGCCTGCTTAATATTTTCTTGTATTATTTTCCTTTCACCTCAATAATATAAATTAAAATCAAAATATATGAATATGAATATGAAGAAAATAATAATCCTATTGATGAACCCTATTTAAGACATGCTACTCAACTGGGCTTGCTACTATATTTAATGGCCGGACGCCAACCATATTTAAGACTATATTTAAAAACTTTCAAAAGAAAAAGCATTTAAAATAGATAATGAAAAAAAAAAAAGTACAAACTTGCACAAATTGTATTCGAAAAAATGTAATAACACTTTTTTCCACTATGTTCATTTAGTAAACGAGTTAAGACTCAATACTAGAAAAGAAAAAAAAAATATATATATGTTATCTTAAGACTCGAATTCGACTATATAGATAAGGAGTCGAGCCCAAACTC